AAAGCTTGGGGGAAAGTTTTCATTAGGGCCTTTCATTTGTGTGGCATGACATTAGTTAACCCGTAGCATGGGAAGCAGCAGAGAGACCGTGGCTAGTCCTGAACTGCCAGATCTATTTGTTCTAGCCAAAGTGTAAAAAATCCTGCCCTACCCTTTGAATACACACACACACACACACACACACACAATTGAAAACCACTTCCTGACTCTGTTACTGGGCCTGAAAGGCAAAAATGTTTGCCCTCTGAATGCCACACATGCTTTCTTGGGGGTCATCTGCCCCAGGGTACAAAAGCCAATACGGATCCAACCAGTGAAAATAAGCTTTGCTTGAGATTTGGTCCGATTCAGCTGCACATGAAGGACTCCTCGGAGATGACACAGCCAGTCTTACAAAATGAGCAAGATCTCCCGCGCGCCCAGCAAACCACTATTGAGCCCCACTGCTGCAGCCCAAATTCGGATGGAGAACAAAGCTGCACAGCCCGACAAACACAGCCGTCGCTTGGCCACGAGACGGCACGTTGCACAGAGCAGAGATAATTAGTTAAGCCAGCTAACAAAGGGTGTTGCAGGCAACTTGGCCGGAAGAAGGGCCAGGCGGTACACGGAAAACAGGTTCAGGGTGCTGGGCTAGATAAGAGCAAGTTTTCTTTGGAAAAATCAGCATAGCAGCCCAGACCCCCACTCAGCACATCGAAAGCAAGGAAGAAACAATCAGGATGAGAAAACCCAACAGAACCGTTATCCCACCACGGTGCTCTTTCAAAACCAGGCTTGATCTCCCCTCCCAGGTTCACGTGCACGGTGTTGCTAGATTTAGATGTAAACCGGTGTCCGTCCCCAAGCAAACATAGGCGACAGTGAACCAACAGCTTTCTCAACACTACTGGCAGCTTGCAATCCCACCCCCAGCCCCACTCACCCTAGGTCTTAAAAGACAGACAGATGCTCTATCAGGGATCCCCGCAGCCTCTTACCTTTCCCACTTCCTTCCTACAGCCGGGGGTTAAATTGGGCAATGGGGACCTTTGAGGCTTGAGCTCAGAGCCAGCTTTCCATGCAACATGCAGCTAAAAAGCTAAATCGACTTGCATAGCTGATTTTATTCAAGAACAATACGATATCGTGCTAGTACGCAGGGGTCCAGCCACGATTCTCTCCCCTCCAAACTAAAACCATTAGCAGCCTCCGATGCACAGAGATTGGTTCAGCTTCCACAAAGCACCATTTCCTTAACTATGCAGCCAAATCAGCCCCAGCCACCCCTAATGAATCGGTTCCCCTGGATTATACGATGTCCAAGCATTTGTCATTGGCAGAAATGCCACTCTCCACAAAGAGACAGCACCCCGACTCCCCCTCCACAGTCACAGCACCCTCAGAAACACCCCCAAATAAAAGCTGTGGTCCCCTCAGACGGATGCCCCTTGGCACGCACCCCTGCCCCTGCTTCTGGCCAAAGACCTCAGTTGCTGCCCCGCAACACATGCACCACCTGAAGTGCCCCCTTCCCAGGTGAAATCATTTACCAGCAGCAAGAGGGAATCACTTCTCACTCACCTGCAGGGACCCATCTGGCTCATTGCCAAGCCTTTCCACCCCCCATGGAAGCAGCAACTCCCCCAAACATCACTTGTGCCCCAGTTTGAGCCAGCCTCTCACCCCAACCCCCTGCAGCCCCGCACCGGGGGCTGTGGGTATCCACCACGTGGGTCTTCTCCCCACAAAGCCATGGAGAAAGCTGCCCCCACTGACACCGCTTGAGAAAAGGCTAGTGACCCCAGCTCTTCAGTGCCCCTGAATGCCAAGGCTGCCAAAAGGCAATTGGAGGGGCTGAAAGCTGGGCCCTCCATCTCCAAGCCAAGAACACCGCCCCCGGGCCAGGGACCCCTCTTCCTACCTGCACCCTGGGCTCGTCCAGTCCAAAGGCTGGTGTTAGCCAACTTCTGCTGCTCAGAGCCCCTCGGAGGTGCAGAGCTGCCGAACTTCAGCCCCATGGAGCCCAAGGGAAGCAGCTTGGGAGCAAAGGAGAGGAGCTCATTAGGGGCTGGAAGGCACCTGGGCTTGGACCTTCCCAGCTCCTCCCTCCCAGAGCTGCAGCAAGGCTTTAGCAGCCCCTGCCCACCTCTACCCCTGAACGGCTGCCCTGCCCCGTGGTAACCGTGGACACACTTGCACCCCGTACAGCCAAGCAGAGGTGTCCTGATCCTCAGCAAGAGCCTGGGAAGTGTTTCCAAGTGGCTTCTCCTTACTCCAGGATAAGTGTGCACACATGCAATTACCACAGAGCAGCCTCAGCTCCCCACCAGCAACAAACCTCCAAGAAACAGTCACGTGGAGCAGCTCCCAACCTCGTCGCAGCCCCTTCTCCAGAGCCTCCCAAGGGGCCTAGATTTTAAATGCAAAACGGAGCAAGCAAAGCCAAGCTGGTGACAGAAGGGGATGCACCTGGCATGCATCCCTCTACGGGGATTGCTCACGGCACGGAAAAAATCAGCAGTGTCACATATGACAAGGCGGCAAAGCATCCGCAGAGGCTGTATCATTATTACTGAACTACTTTAAACCTATTTAATCTGAACCAGGTGGCTACTTATATACATCCAGAAAACCTCCCCTTGAGCCCCCAGCACTTACAGCTCTGGCTAAAGAAAGGGATGCAGAGCGAGCCGATAATTATAAGAGGTCCTCTTCCCCTTGCTTTCTACAGGTCTGGCATTGGGCCTTACAGCCACAGTGCAGGAGGGGTTAAGTGCAGGGTTTGGGTTGTTTTTAAGGGTTGTGGCCGTGTTTTTTTAAGACAGTAAAGAACCAGCTGCCAGCAAATGCAGAGGATTGGACTCGTGGCCCAGGCGGTCCCTCATCAAGGTTCACGGCACAATGGGACAGAGAAGTCCAAGGGCAAGGCTGGCCTCTCCTTTTGCAAATGGCTCTAACCTTCACTTAAATTCAATGATCATAAACCTATGCTGGAGGTCTCCATTCAGTTCAGATTTTGGGACATCTCAGGGCCTGGACCGGGAACGCTGCTCAGAAAGGCACCGAGTGCTATTGCAAACCCACCAGTGGCCCTGGGCACCATCCTTTTCCAAAAGGAAAAGCTTCAGGGCTACCTGGGTAGGGAAATTAGTCACCAGTGTCACATCTACTGCACGATTAAGCAGCTTCTTCTGCTCTTGGAGTCATGCAGGTATTAAAGGATGATTTCCCTTGCTTGAAAACATCTTTCAGCAACATCAGCTTCATTTTACTGTTCATTTTCCATCTGGCCCCAGTGACAACACGCAGCAGCAGCAGCAGTGGTGTGATTATTCAATAATAACTGGAGATACAGCAGGGTTGCCATCGCTCCTGGAGATGCTATCAGAGTACAGCTGCATTTCAGGGGCTGAGTCATATCGCTCTGCTGGGTGCTCTGCTTATGAATACGCATCCCTACGACCACGAACAGAGCCGCACGTACAAGAAAGCACTGTGCGCTTAAGGCAGTAGTTTCCAAAAGCTCAAGTTCCCTCTGCACTGAAAAGGGAACACGCTTGATACTGTACAGATATGAAAGTGGATGCGTCTTCTGCTGGACTCCTACTCTTACAGGCCAAAGTCTGTTTAAGCCACAACTCCTCTTCCATCCCCAGAGGAGCCTCAAACAAGACACAATGAAGATCAAGCCTTCCTTTCTGCTGCCAACTCTAGCTTTCTGCAGCAAAGGAAGGGATGCATCTTTGCACGTTTGGGCCATACCTTACTTGTAAAAACTTAGTGGAAGATCTTACAAGTACCAAGCAAGCTGGCTGCTTTGTTATCAGTGGGGCAATAATTAGAGCTAGGACAAAAGAACAGAAGCCAAGGCCTCTAGGCCCTATTCCCACAGCCCTGCAGTCATAATGTTTCTCCCTGCCTCAGTTTCCCCACCTGCAAGATAGGGATAAAGCCAACAACCAGACTCCTCCACTTGTTGGGGCTTTGAGCGCTCAGGATCGGGAAGGGCAGTCCACCCACCTACCTCCGCACCTGTCAAAGGCTGTTAGTCCCTTCGCTCTCCACTTCGATTAGCTCATCTATGTTGAGCATTAGACCAGAGCTGTGCTGATGCGAAGTGCAACCAAATGCCCTGACACTGCCCGTCCCCGAGGCTCTGCCCTCCTGCGGTCCTAGAAGATGGCAAAGGCAGGGTCAGACCCAAGGGCAGAGATGGGAAGGCTTCCCTACGCCTGGGGAGAGGAGTACCTTAAAGCCTTTACTTACCCCAAGGACCCAGCAATATTCATCCCTATCTTGTTTGCCATCTCTTGGTGCAACAGGACAGACCTCTTCCACGATTCAGGCCTGATCACCTCCCTTTGCAGGGCAGAGAACAGCCAGTAAGCGAGGACTGGAGAACAACCCATGCCAGCACTTTTTTGCATTGCACCATTTGCACAAGTGGGTTTTCCGGATGCTTTAAAGAAGTCTTTCTGGTGCATTAAAAGTAAAACTCCTGCACTGCTTGTAGCAGGTAGGCTGCTTTCAGACCCCGCAGTGTGTCTAGGCCCCTAAGCCGACAGTGGAAGGGGAAGCAGAGATTAAACCGCTTAATGGGAATGAGCTGCCTACATTTCATCCGACATAAAAGGGGAACGGAGCACCTTCTTCTCATCCCCAGGGTACATAGAGACTTCCCAACCTCTCACCTCCTAGGGAGAGACCTGGAGAGCTTTTAAGAAAGGCCACAAGCTCATTTGATTCCTTGTCTGCAGCTTTTGACTCCTTATTGCCCAGCCAGCTTTCCTGGCCTCCCTTCCCTCTGCCTGCCAGGCTCCTTGAGGAAGGGCGGCAGGTCCAGGTCATCCGGAAAGCACGGTGTGTCCCGAAGAGCAATTCAGAACGTGACTCGTGCAGAGCCCAGCTGCTAAATAGAGAGGCCTGGCAGCTACCCAAGCCCTGCCCTTTCTAACCCCCAGGAGCAAAAGCCAAACATCGAAGCAAAAAACCCCCACCACAACACACCCAGAAAGCCTATAAAATACAAAATAAAACTTGTTTTATTGACTGGAATAACTGCAAGTACATGATTCACCAAACAGACAAAACTTCTTTCACCAGGTGGCTATGCAGACTGTACAGTGCTATATGTAGAGGCACAAAAGCACATACATCAAACCGTGTCTATATACACCAACGTTTTCCTTGGCTACTGGCAATACAGGAGTGGTACGTGTCCCTGCTCACCCGGTCTGAGGTCAGCGCCGAGGGTCTTTGGCCACAGCAGGTAAAACTCCACTTTGCAACTGTGCAGTCGTTCCCTGGAGAACTGCATCCCAGGGAGGGGAGGGGGAAATGGGACAAGGAAGGTTGGGCTGGCCTTTAAATACAGTAAACAAGTCCTATGTTTTAAGCACTTTAATGCTGTTGGGATAGGGAGAATCAAGCTCCTCGCTCAACTGAGGGCTTTGGCATGCATTACATTCAAGGAGCCCGGCCAGCTGCCGGGCCAAGTGAAGTGCTCCAAACCCAGACGAACTCCCTGCCTTGGAGTGGAGCTACTTGCATTAGATGTGCATGTCACAAGGGCTCTCCCCAGCAAAACCTTCCTTCCCATTCTCATTCTTGCGGCACCCAAACAATATTTCCAGCAAAGAGAGTGGGAAGAAATAAGACCCACATCTCAGCAGCACGAGGGGTCTGTGAAATAAGACCAGCTGTAGTTATGGCCCCCTCGGCAATGTCCCTCCCATCACAACCTGCCGCCCACGGCAGCTGGTAGAGGTGAGACATTATTTATCCTGCACTTCTCTGAGCGGGCAGCAAAGTGCTGATGCTCACGGAGCAAGTCGATCTATGCCCTTCAGAGTCAGGATCTGTGCCAGGGTGGTCAAGGAGCTACATCTCAAGCCCAAACAGCACCAGCACAGCTTGGGGCTGCCCTTTGCAATAGCTTTTGAAAGGGAAAAGGACTTCACATCATGTGCAACAACGCAGAACACCCAGTCTTTCACACGTGCCTCTTTAAACAGCAAGGAGTAGATCCCACATGCAGCAGCAGGGTTGCTAGTCAGGACAGCGTGGATACCAAGAGCCATGTGGGATGGATGCGGGTAGCAACAGTGGAAATCCTTGTGCACCAGCTAGCACGGAGATTGTGGGCAGTTCTGGAAGGCAGCAGGCAGAGGCCTTCAAGTCACTGCCAGCCTTCCACCAGGCATCTTCCCACACCAGGATCTCGAAGGCCCACAACGAATTTCAGCCCGGCTACGAAACGACAAGGCCAAGCTCTGAAGTTGGACCTCAAAGACCGGGCAGGTGAGATTCTCAAGTACCCCACACCCAGCAGTCACCTTGCATATTGCTCTCATTCCCTACACGGCATGCAAAGACCAGCTTCCTGCCTAGTGCTTCCTCGATCTCACTTGGATGCCATCACTTGCAACTTGCATCAGGGCCTTGGTCTTTAAAGGAGTCCAACTAGCACTAAATAAATATCCCGAACTCCCGTCAGCTGCTTGGTTGGCACACCCCTCGCCAGGAGGGTTCAGATGCAGTTTGTTTCGTGCCTGCTGGACCCCTGAGTGGTGCAAGGAAATGGGAGGAAAAGCAAGCTCCCTGCAGCTTCAAGAGCTCTGCTGCTACATGACTGGCCTGAAGAGCTTGCAGGGAGCCAGGAGACCTGAGCACATTGCTGTGGAGGGTTTTAGGAACAGACGTGTACTCCAGAAGTGCTTCATTTCTCAGCAGCGACGGGGCCACAGGGAGGGAGGCTGCATCCCCGGCATGTGAAGAGCTGCTCGGTGGGTCTCGGCTCCAAGTCTGAAGAGCCGGGAGTGCTGCAGCTCCTCTGTGGGAAGAAGGGAACGGGGCCTGACAAGTGCTAAAACAACTTGCAGCTAATACCAGGCTTGGAGAGAACAGGGCTCTCGTACCAGATGGACCTTTGCAGCGCTTCTATCAGCTGCGCTGGGAGCCGATAGAAACCAGTGTCAGGAGGGCCATCTGAGAAGATGCTCTGCGGCTGGAAGCACCAGCAGGTTCCCAGCCCAGCCCCGAAGCTGCAGAGATACAACAACGTGGTCCTCTGCTCCGTCTCCAGCTGGAGCTAAGAACGCAGCATCTCGCAGAGAGGGAGTTCGTCTCCCCAAGGAGAATCCCAGCCGCAGATGGAGAAACGGGGCAGACAAAGCAACCCAAATCATCCCCAAACCTCCCCCCATGCCTATAAGTGTTTCTGCATCGCTAACCAAGTAGGAGAGAGGGGTCAGAGGGACTCAGGCAAGAGCTGCTTCCCAGCATGGCTGCCTAGAAGCTGCTCCTGGCTGCAGGAGGATGAAGAACAAGTTCAAAAAGCAAAACAAGTGGCCTCTTCATACAGTACAAGGAAGGCCGTGTCCCCTCATAATGCCCTGTGCACCAAGTACGTAGGACCCCATTTTCTGGGCCCAAAAAGAGGGGCAGAAGCCTGTGAAACTCCATCCAGCTAACTACCCAACAGTAACATGACTTCATCTCCCCTCAGCCCCTCTACTCCAGTCCCAACCTAACGCTACACTCGCCATTGCACCTTCACCAATATATCACCATTATTGCACTAGACCTACAGCTCAGAGGCCTTGGCTGGTTCTGGACACAGCCCCAAATCTCCCGGGGCTGCCAGGACCAGAGGCATGTGCTAAGCTGCTCTGGGTTTCGATTCCCAAGACAGCAGCATCAACTCGAGATTCAATGGGGATTTGGCCAGCACTGGTCTCAGCCAGGTCAGCTCAAGATTTGCAAACTCTGCTCGCTCTTCCCCTGGTAGTTCAGCTCTGGAGTTAGCCAAGGACAGCAAGAACCTGAATTGTAGTCATCACGCAGCGGCCCTTGCTCGCTGTGCGCGCCGAAGGGTGGGGAAACCGCTTTGTTTCTACCAGGTTGCTTTAAAACCCTCTTTGTTCTGAACACAGTTATCCTTCCTCCGACCGCTAGCCAGAACAAGGGGAGTTTATACTTCCCACGCCCGGCTCAACGACAATCACCGACTTCTACTCCCGGGTCAGCCACACCGTGTTGTGACCAGGGGCTGCAGTACAGCGTGGGGACCGTGCCTTACTGAGGTACGACAGCTGTGACAGCTTGCAAGGGCTCAGTGCAATCTTAAGAGTCTAGCGGTACCATGCAAAGGTAGAGGCCAAGAGACAGCTCTTCCTCCTGGATCAAACTAAGCTGATAGGGCAGAAGCGTTCTTCCTACCCACAGCCCTTGACACTAGGTAGAGAACAGGAGCTAGAAACAGGAGAAGGAAGAGCGCAGGCCTGGTTTAGTGTCTTTCGCTCCTGCTTTCATCATTCGTGGTCCCAGATACCTACTGAAAACTTACTATGAGGTAGGCAGCCAGGCCGGCACAGCTGCAAACCAGTTGTTCCCTAGCAGCAGAGAGCAGTGTAGTGCAATGAGGGGTACCCCAGAGAGAGCCAGCCCCAAGGAAACGCTGCAGACATCCCTGGAAAGAGCAGAGACCATGCCCCCTTCAAGAGACGGACAACTGGATCAGACATCCAGCACCAGACCCCCACCCCAACCTACAGCATGTAAGCCTCAGTGCTTCCAATAAAGCTCCCCCCTCCAAGAATATATTCTAAAAGCCAGTCACCATTACACAAAGTGCCCAAGCAGCAGCTATACCCAGGTCTCCCCACAGACCCCAGCATCTTCCCCTATACAGGCAGGAGTCTCCTATGAGAAGTGCCTCAGAAGAAGTGCACATGGCATTGGACAAGCCATGCCAACTAATGCCCAAACGCTTGACTCCTTGGCCTTAATCAAGGGACACATTGCCTGCCGAGGCCTGCTGGCCTACAGCAAACAGTAGCGAGGCAGGGGCTGTCCACTAACACAAGTCATGCCCTCTCCTTGGGTAGCATCCCTACTCTTCTCCCCAGGCCTCAGCAGCCTCCACCTTCTCCAGAAGGATGGAGCAGGGACCAAGAGGTCTCTTCTCTGTTGCTGTCAGCCGGCAGGCTGGAGGGGAAAAAAGCTGGCACCTAAGAAAAAGATTGTCCAATGTTTGCTCCTGGGAAGAAGAGGCCTGGGAAGTCGGGAGCGCAGCGTGGTTGTGAGACAGGATCTAAAACCTTGAGATTGTCCATAGCCTTTTTTTCCCCTGCTCCCTCAGCTCAAGGGTCTGGGATCACATCACACAAGACCCCTTTGGCACTTGCATGTGTCAGGTGTGCCAGGAAAAAGGCCCTTCAAGTGTAAAGAAAAGGCACTGCCTCCCTGCCCAAGAGACAACGGCAGCTCAACAGCACCCCGCCGGGCCCAGGCAAGGAGACCCTGCAAGAAGGACTGCGAGCTAAGGGAGGGGAACAGGACTGGGATCAGGATCTTGCTTTCACTGGAGAAACAGGTCTACAAAAAGGAGGGCGATGGCAGCTCCCGCAGCGGGGACCCGTCCCCTGTCCTGCACCGTGCTGCCGGCTCAAATCACAGCACCAAGGCACCGGTGGCATTGGACACAGGGGACGGGGACGCAGGGGTCGTGACCAGGGCCTCGAGCGCCTCGTAGGTCCCCACCACGAAGCCCACGAAGCCGATGAGGCTGATGAGGATGTCCTTGGCGACGGTGACAGGGTGGAGGCCCTCCTGGAAGTACGTGAAGATCTCCAGGAGCGGCGGGATGATGAGGGCCAGCGCGCTGCTGCTCACAGAGCCCACCAGAGAGATGACGATGTCCAGGCGGGGGATCAGGATGGCCAGCACACCTGGGAGAGACAACACAGAGCTTAGCTGTGGTTTGGACAGGGCTGATCCTGCCTCAGGCAAGGGATGGACCAGATGTAGGGCTGGAAGGGAGCTCCGGAGGTCTGATTCTAGGATCACTGGACAACTGGAGGTCATGGGCTGGGGTAGAGACCCCCACACCCACTTTCCACCCCTCACCCGACACGCGCATCATGGTGCAAGGCAGGGCAGACCCACCCTCCTTCACCTCACTTCCTTACAGAAAGCCTGTTAACAACACTACCCTAACTTCATCCCATGGCATCTCTAGGCCTGATCTAGACAGGAAAGTTAAGAGACTTGCCCAAGGTCAGATGGGGGAGTCAGTAGCAGAGCTCCAAATGGGGTCTCCCCCGTCCAAAGCTCATGTTCCAAGTGCCAGGTCTGCCAGAGGACCTGCTGGCTTTGAGCAAAGGATCGATGCAGCTCGAATGCAAGCCCCAAGCGCGCTGCTGCTTTCCCCCAGTTAACTAATGCCACAAAGCACCTCGAATTCAATGCTATTTAATGCACAAGCTCCTAGGCTCTCTGCACAGCAAAGCCACTGTTAACCCAGAGGCGAGAGGAACATGTGGTATGGGAACAAGAGATCCAAACACTGCAAGTCACAGGATGAGGATGCATTGCCATTTTTGCTCCCTGTCCTCAGGGCAGCTGTGAGTTCAGGGGGTTGTAACCGCCTTGCTGTGTTGGCGCCAGCTTCCCAAAAACGGAGCAGCTCCCATCTCTGGGACGTGGCATTATTCTGCCTCCAGACCCGTCTCCATTTGCTCCCCCGTTCAGCCTGGTCTCCCCTCCCGGGGCCTTCAAGGGACTGTCGCTAAATCCATCTATGCAGCAGGCCAAAGCTCAGCAAGCTTATCCCTGCCTTGATCCAATTACACTGAGAATGAGGCTCATTTAGTAAAAGAGGGGAGAGTTAATTGCCATCATCTCCTTAGAGGGACTCCCATGTGGCTCATAGGGGGAGAGGAACTGGAAGTCGTCCATATAGTAGGTCACTGCTGCAACCCCAGACTGGTTAGGACTCAGGTTCAGTCTAGCCAGTGTTGGGTTTTCTGCAGAGATGATAACAACAACCCACTGTGGGACGACAAGGTCAGCTGGGGTCGTGGGCACTGGCCGACGTGACAGACCTGCCTGGTCAGCAGGCAGTAACGAGAGGAACGTACGCTCCCTGTTCTCCTGCCTCTTCCACCCACCCTGGAGGACACCGTGTTCCCTGAACGGCCTCCCCCAGGGTGACAGCCCGGCACAGAGAAACCAAGGTCTCGATCTGTGGATGAGGTTTCTCTGAGGACTCCTACTCAGACACTGCAGCTCATTCAGGGAGGAGGGCGTGGAGCTTCCTGAAAGAGGAAGGAGAACTGAGGAAGACCCACAAGAGCAGAGGCGCACCGGAGCAGCCGCCTGGCCCGACTTCAGACTCACTTCACATGGGCGACAGCAGCGCCTGTGAGACTCCCGTGATGATGCACTGCCGAGCACGGGTTTGGTGCCTCTGTGCAATAGGGGCGTTACGCCAGGACATTGCAGAGTACCACCCTCTACCAGGCTGCACATTTTTGCTCCACCGAGCTCTCCCTGTGCTACGGCAGCATCTCATTCACTTCTGTGACAAGCAAAGCTCCTGGCAGGAAGATTCAACTAAGAATTACATGTGGTACTTCCCAGCAAGCATCAATAGGGGCTCCTCTCACCAGGACCTGGAAAGTCTCGACAATCCCATTATCCTCCTACAGTCAGGAGAGATGCTAAAGGACTTCCCAAGGGTAACAGCGCAAGTCAGCAGCCGCCTCCCAAGGGGCCCAGGCAGCTAATCCAAGCCCCGAGTTTCCACAGCGAGATGCTGCTTCCTCAGTGTTTGCTCGAAGGCAGGAAGGGTGCATCAAACGCACGATGCTAGGACAGAAGTGGGCACAGGAGGAGGAGCGCTGCAGCGGCGCAGAGCCGCTAACACAGCGCAGAGGGATCACAGCAACGCGGCAAGATGGTCACGGGAGCGGCTGGCCCCAGCAGGGGAGTGACGGATGTCTGGTTCCTGCACACGGCGGTCACAGAAGCGCCGACCTGCAGCAAAAGCACCAGGCTGCCGCAGTCCTCCGTCTACCCAGAGTGACAGGCTTACTTTAAACTGGGTTGAGTTTGAGCGAGATCTGCTGAGGAAGGGAGGGAGATGGATGAAGTAGCCTTTGGTGCCTCTCCTCCCTTCAATAGGGCACAGCCTCCAAAGCTAGATGAGAGACCTACCACTGCAAGCAGCAAGGCAGTTACAGCTGCTGCCCCCAGCATCCCCCAGGGTCAGCTGCCAGGCTTCCTGCTGCTATGCATTCA